CCAGCCGCGCATGGGGCACGAAGCACTCGCCGCGGGGGTCGAAGGGCCGGGTGGTGGCCGCCAGACGCTCCTGTTCGCTCGCCCGCAGGAACGGGGCCGCTGCCCCCAGCGCTGCCAGCACCGCGTCCGCCATCTGCTCGCCACTGTTAGCGGGGACACGGGGACAGGACCCAGAGCCCCCATGTCCCATAGCTGCACATAGACCTGCTGTGCCCAGGGCCCTGTAGCCATGGGACAGACCCCTAAAGCCATGCATGGGCACTACAGCTGTGCCCAAGGCCTTGTAGCCATGGGGAAGACCTCAAGGCCATGCATAGACCCCTTATATTGATGCTCAGACCCATGCTCAATAGGGACCCCTGTTGCCATGCTCAACCCCCCCGTTGCAGAGCCCCCTCTCTTGACAGCATGCAGCCTCCTATAGCCATGCCCACAGCCCCATAGCAATGCTCGGCCCCATGGTTGGAGCCCCACAGCACTGCACAGACCCCCATAGCACTGTATGGACCCCCATGGCCAGCACCCCTATAAATGATTTGAGGACCCTGTAGCACTGCATCCAATGCTATAACACCCACTCCCCAATCCCCTGCAGTGCCCAGCCCCATGAAGTCACCCTCACCTGGAGTCTGTGGATCTGGTGGGTAGACGGAAGGAACTAGGGGAAAAATGGGGAGGGTGAGGGTCTGTGCTCTACAGATACCCACACCCCCATGCCCCATAGATCCCCTGGGTGCCCCATAGCCTTCCTGTGCCACATAGATCCCTCTGCCCCATAGCACTCCTGTGCCCCATAGCCCCCATGGATTCCTGTGCCCCATCGATTCCTGTGCCTCATAGCTCACTTATGCCCCATAGAGTCCCCATGGCCCATAGATCCCTGTGCCCCATAGCTCTCATAGCCCCCCTGTGCCACACCACCCTGCACCCCACATTCCCACCCTATATCCCCTCCCCAGCCCCATATATCCACCCCATATCCCACCTGCCCCTCTGCCCCCAACAACCCCCAGACCCCCCACCCTCTCTCACTGTGCCCGACGCCGGGACCTACTGCAGCCTCACAGACCTACGGCATTTATAGGGTGCTGTGGGGAGGAGGTGGGGG